TCACAATTCTCTCTAATCCTCTTTTTCTTCATAAGAAGAAAGGAAAAATGTGGATGGTTGATAGTAGTGATAATAACCGCAAGGAAGTAAAGATGCCGACAACCGATAACCCACCGTTCGGCCATAAGCTCCGGTCGATAATGCCACGGCCACCCCTCAGAGGCAGTACCATCACCATGTCCACCCCTTCATTTTTTTGTGCTCAAAACCCTAATCCCATCCTTCCACTCTGGAATCAATATCCCATCGGTAATATTTTCATTTCTTTTATAATTTAATTTTCTCATATTTACCAAGAATGTGTTGCTAGGATTGCATCTTCTTCATTATCATATAGCACAAAAAAAAAAAAAAGAATATTTATTTGTGGAATCTGGAAATAGAAATGAAACCTTGAAAATCATACTAGTTAGTTTAAATTTATTAATTGTTTAATTGTAGGTGGTGTGATGGGTGATTATGGGGTAAAAAGAGAGATGGAAGGGGTGCCATTGGTGAGCACGAGATGGAACCCTACGCCGGAGCAGTTGCAGGCGCTTGAGGAAATGTATAAACAAGGGACACGAACGCCCACAGCCGACCAAATCCAGCAAATTGCTTCTCGGCTGAGGAGGTTCGGAAAGATCGAAGGCAAGAATGTTTTCTATTGGTTTCAGAATCATAAGGCTCGGGAAAGACAGAAAAAACGCCGCCAGCTGGAGCTACTCGCCGGAAAACAGCCACTCAATGTTGAGGCCTCTGAACCAAACCAAGGTAATTCTCATTCATTCATTTATTAATAATTAATAACAGTAATATATAATACAGTGATTATGGTGTGAGAGATTGATGGATGGATGTGCTTTCAAATTGAAAATGCGTATCTTCTAAATTTGGTGATGAACTTGAAATTTTTGAATGTTATGTTATTTTCTTAGGGTCAAAATTGAAGTGAAAGGGTTTTGTATGTTGAATGATTTCATGTCCATGTGTAGTGATATAGATTGCATCTGTCAATTATTTTTTTAACTAAAATTATTGTTTATTCAATATATCTGGAATAGAATGCAAGAAATATATAATTAATATTTGTACATTTAAATCGGTTATATTTCTCTAAATATAACTTTAATATAATTTTACAGGATTAAGCAAGGGATATATTGAAATTGAACACAAGAAGAAACTGCAAACACCTTCAAACTGCAGCACGCCCTCAGAGGTACCTACACGTTTAGTTTTATAATCTTTTTTATTTTTTCCAATAAGAAAATTTTCAAGACAAATTATGGTTTTGTAATCGGCAAAAATCTAATTTTGGTCCTCTAAGTTGAAAATTGTTCAGTTTTGGTACACCAATTTTCCCCTCATAAAAATTAGTCCACTATGTTACAATTTTGGTCAGTTTTAGTAAAGTAATTCCAAGGGGCTGAAGTACGTGATGACGTGCAAAATTGTAATTCTTCTATGTCAGAGTCCTATCATCATCCACGTAGTTTCAATCCTTGTCCCTCGAGATTTATGTAATAAAATTGACCAAATTGTAACATAATGATTATTTTTTATAAGGAAAAAATTAATGTACCAAAACTAGACAATAACCAAATAAAAGGACCAAAATTGATTTTTTTGCGTTTAATAATCACTATATATATATATAAGCAAGCTTGGTCATTTAGTACGTACTCTGCACAAAATTCAACGTACATCTGACTTGATCAAGCGCAAGACATAACACAGCGGCAAAATTATGGGCTAATAATACGGTACTCACATTGGTCCAAAACAATTGAATGCAATAAAATATAAAAAAAGAAAGCATTGTTTATGATGGAAAAAGATGGGACAACAAAAAAGCTGCACTCTATACTTTCTGTTGGGGTTGTTGCTAAGAAAAATATTAGAATTTTCTCGACCAAAGTGCCATATTTTTTTTATTTATTTCATTTCATCAATTTATATATAAAAAAAAAAAAGTAGATTAATTAATTTTCAATAAATATTTCAGGACTCTGCATCAATGCATGGCTCAGTGATAGCAGAACGTAAGAAATTAGATATGTGGGCACAAAAACAGCACCCCAAGGAATTGCAGTCAGCGAACAATGAAATTACCTCCTGGAAATTGGACTCATCTCACTCTTCTTACAACAACATCAACTCCCATAAAGCTTCATCTTCCGAACAAGAGAACACCGTGCGATTATTAACCGATCAAGCCAACGTTATCGAGAGCAACCTCATGTTAAAAGAAAATCGGACACTTCAGCTTTTCCCGATGGGCGGTGGTGGCCATCAAGAAGAGAATTGCGATGCCTCTGTTGTTGGCATTTATTCGGAAAACCGATATAGTAGGCCTAACGAGTTCATCGAGTTCCTGCCGATTGCGAGGAAATAAATCGAAATTCGCAGGGTTTAAGAAATATATTCATAGATTGTAGTACGTTATTATTTAATATTACTGGGTTGATTAAGGTTGAAAAGATGTAACATGGGTGGCTTCTGCATTAAATTAACGTGGGTGTTCGTATGTACGTAGCTAATTAGGTAGCTATATCTGCTGCTTGATGTATTGGTCATTACGCTTATTTAATGACTCTGATTGGCATCTATGTATGTTTTTATTGACCTTTAGGCTGTGAAGATCACTGTCGGACTTTGACAAAAAAATTATGTCAATCAATTACCACAGTTTGGAGCACTAATTAATTTTCATTTCTCCCTTAGCCCAATCGAGACATAAAAGTAACTAACTGTAATCTATTATACGACGGATCATGCTGCACAAACATATATAATAAAGGCAAAAATTTAAAATTGATCCTATAATTTGATCACTGTCTAAAAAACCACTCTTATATTCAGGGGCGGAGCCACCCTAAGGCTAGGGTGGGCTCCAGCCCCATGTAATTTTTTGCTACCCTTATTTTTGCTAATCTTATTTTTTTAAAAAAATTATACATAGACCCATTAGCCCCATATAATTTTTTATATAGCCCCATATAATTTTTGGGCTGAATGACTCAAGATTATCTTCATGTTAAAATTTGTTATCTGACAACAATGGTGGAAAAATGATGATTATAATGAGGAAAAAAGATATTTTTTATTGTCAAATGACAATTATGACCTTATTAGATTTTTATCAATTGAGTTTATAATGTGACCCAACACACTCTTGTCTTTAAATTTTTAATGGGTTGACTTGACAAATATCAAATGAGCTGGATAATTAAGTTTGACACAGACTTTTCCAGCGGGCTATTTAATTCGATTCGTCTCATTCCACAGTCCGTTATCCATTTTCATTTATTTTTTTTTTCGCCTCCAATAATTAATTCGACATCATTTCCTAGACAAAGAAAACTCGTACAGAGTTGATTGCAAACATGTTCGACTTTATTTGTTTGATCGACAAGTTCGATTAACTATTTGAGTTTGGCTTGTTTAAATATATAAGCAATTCGAGATTGAGTTTTTTCAATTCAAAGCGACATATGTTAGCAGATAATTTGTTTATAATCATAACCAAAACCAGTTACAGGCCGAAACCCTCGGTACCAGGCCGAGAGTTGGAGGAGCATGAACCGATGCAAACATATATGAACCGGCGCGAACATATGTACGGGTCGGTTCATTGAATTGTCGATTACTGGTCGTCCGATTCATTAAAAAAATACAAAATAATTAGAATAATATTTAAAAAAAACGAAACCCGGGTTCCGGTTCCGGTTCCAGTTCGGAACCAAAACTGTATGTTCAGAATGTATAAACGATAAAGTATTGTACATAAACCGAACTGGTCAAACCACGGGTTTGTTCAAGACCATGGTCAATGGGTCTGCTTGTGTCGGTTTGGGCCGAACCGACATGCTGGGTCGGCCCATGACCATGTCTACAAGGTTCCAATAATAGCTACAATAATATGCAGCCCCAGGTTAAACAAAATCATGGCTACGCCCCTGCTTATATTGACCGCTTTCAATTTAGATCCTATAATTTGTCGATTTCATCAATTTTAGTCATTTTTTATCCATATCCTGGATTAAAAAGTGACGTGGCAAGAAAAAAGACCAAAATTGATGAAATCGACAAATTATAGGACCAAAATTGACGTGCCACGTAGATCATAATCACGCCATGTAACCTTAAAAAACTGACACGTCATGTTTGTTGGTGTTATATACTTAAGCTTTGCTTTAGTGGATATTACACTTGTTATTCCTTGATGAATGAGAATTATGTTTGGTTAAATAAGTTCCACGTTCTGTTGTTTTGCATGTAGATAAGTGGGTCGTCATCGGGTGTACACTACAAAAAAATAGAGTTCTAGTGAAG